CCAGGACAGCATAGCAACCAAACTTATGGAGACGCCTGTGGTGTCTAGCCTACTAACCGGCCAAGCGGCCCCACTCTGTGACAAGGAAGAAACCGCCTGGGTGCCGACTGAACAGGAACACTGCGGGAGGACGGATGGTGGGAGCTCCCGGGTGGGAAATTCTTCATCCCCTGTAGGTTGGCCCTTGAACTAGTTATGGACTTCCATCAGTCCACCCATTTAGAAAAAGACAAGACTTGTGAATTTTAGCCCGTTATGTTGTCATACCACGTCTAACAGCTTTGTATGCAGATGCAAGCTGATGATAGGTAACCTGTGCCAGGAATAACCCGGCTCCAAGGAGATAGCCCTTCCCGGAATACAGTTAAAGGGGACCACACTATTTGAACACCTGGACTTCACTGAGGTAAAGCCATGCCGAGGATACAAATATTTACTGGTGATGGTATGTACCTTTATATCCCACCAGGACTGAGAAAGCAAAGGAAGTGGCCCGAGGCATGCTGAGAGACACTATTCCTAGGTTTGGGTTCCCTCTGAGTATAGGATCAGATAACTGGCCTGCATTGGTGGCTGTTACTCCAATTGGTTTGCAAAGCAATGAATATCAAATGGAAACTGCATGCAGCGTATAGATCACAAAGTTCAGGGATGGTTGAGAAAATAAACCGGACCATCAAAGTAACTCTGGCAAAATGGGTGCAAGAGACTGGAGCCCCCTGGATGGATATGCTGCCACTAGGGTTAAAGAAGATCAAAATGACACCCCCCACCCCCGGTATTCTCCCTATAAGGTAATGTTCGGGAGGCCTCCCCCTCTTATTCGGAAAGTAAAGGGCAATCTATTACAGAAAGGAGGGATGGAGGTGTCACGGCAATGGAACAATTGGGAAAGGTGATCCATGACATCACCCCTTATGTTCAAGAAAGCATTCCATTTTCTCTAGACATTACTGTACACCCATACTCACCGGGAGATTTAGTATGGGTAAAAGATTGGAAGCAACAGACGCTGTCCTGCACCTGTAAAGGACCGTATACAATTGTACTAACCACTCCCTCTGCAGTTAAAGTTGCCGGTATTACTCCCTAGATTCACCACAGCCGGCTCAAGACAGCAGCAGAGGAAAAGGGACATTGGACCACCCATTCTAATTCAGAGGAGCCATTGAAGAACTGACTTGTCTTCCATTGGTGACCACAGATTCAGGATGGAGCCACTGTGAATAATTCTGCTGTTCCTGATCAGCACGATGACCCTACTGGGACTGCAAACTCAGGATACTGTGTTCCTGTCCTGGGCCCACTCGTATGCAAACTTCCATAATACTTCTAACTGTTAGGTTTTGGGGGCCATGCCTTTGTCAGTGATGGATGGACTTCCTTGGTGGGTGTCTCCCATATGCAGAGGGGACTTTAGCTCTCTCTGTTCGTTTTTGAGACAGCAACGAGAAGCATTTGCTTCCTTGGTAACACAACCTGCAGCTTCTTACTTGGCATAACCTGGACTTTAACCAAATTGATCAAGGCCATGGGGTAACATTTGAGGTAAATGCAAGCCTTACAAAAGTGGCCAAAGCCTATACCTTTTACTTAAAAAGATAAAAAGAATGAGAACTCAATGGCCAGTAAGAAGGGCCAATCCATCAGGTAGTTTGAACAATTTTACCAGATATGGAATGAATATTTTTGGTTGACCCCAGAAAAAGGTCAACCTATTGTCCCTGCCCTTATCTGTTGGCAACAAAGGGAACAAAAAGCTGGATTTGTCGACCATCCCATAGATCAAAAATAATTGAAATATGTGGGATATTTGTCCTCTGAGCAATGTGAACAAATATTAGAGGTCACTTATGACCCAGATTTACCAGCCGGCTGGCCTGGCTCAGACTGGAAGTATAACCCTGGGATTAGATGGCACCCTTAACAGCACTCAGTGGCTGTGTGGATCAAACCTATGGCCATGGCTTCCAGTCGGTTGGGTAGGCCACCTCACATTACAATTTGCCTTTGCTCATAGAAGTATTAAGCCATCCTTGCAACAAGTCGCAGTAAATTTGCCTTACTTACATGCATGTTGGGTAAGGTCTGTGTTTAAATGCTATGATTATATAGCTGCCTTGTTCATACCATCTATCAGTTCAGTTCAGTCGCTGAGTCATGTCCATCTCTTTGCAACCCCATGAACTGCAGCATGCCAGGCTTCCCTATCCATCACCAACCCCTGGAGTTTACTCTAACTCATGTCCATCAAATAGGTGATGCCATCCAACCAACTCATCCTCTGTCGTCCCCTTCTCCCACCTTCAATCTTTCCCAGCAACAGGATCTTTTCAAATGAGTCAGTTCTTTGCATCAGGTGGCCAAAGTATTGGAGTTTCAGCTTCAGCATCAGTCCTTCCAATGAACACCCAGGACTGATCTCCTTTAGGATGGACTGGTTGGATCTCNTTCCCATCTCTTTCAGAATTTTCCACAGTTCATTGTAATCCACACAGTCAAAGGCTTTGGCATAGTCAATAAAGCAGAAATAGATGTTTTTCTGGAACTCTTTTGCTTTTTCAATGATCCAGTGGATGTTGGCAATTTGATCTCTGGTTCCTCTACCTTTTCTAAATCCAGCTTGAACATCTGGAAGTTCACAGTTCACATACTGTTGAAGCCTGTGTTGGAGAATTTTGAGCATTACTTTGTGTGAGATGAGTACAATGTGCAGTAGTTTGAACATTCTTTGGCATTGCCTTTCTTTGGAATTAAAATGAAAACTGACCTTTTCCAGTCCTGTGGCCACTGCTGAGTTTTCCAAATTTGCTGGCATATTGAGTGCAGCACTTTAACAGCATCATATGTTAGGATTTGAAATAGCTCAACTGTAATTCCATCACCTCCACTAGCTTTGTTCATAGTGGTGCCTCTGAGGCCCACTTGACTTCACGCTTCAGGATATCTATCTCAGGTGAGCGATCACACCATCATGATTATCTGGGTTGTGAAGATCTTTTTTGTATAGTTCTTCTGTGTATTCTTGCCACCTCTTCTTAATATCTTCTGCTTCTGTTAGGTCCATACCAGTTCTGTCCTTTATTGAGCCCATCTTTGCATGAAATGTTCCCTTGGTATCTCTAATTTTCCTGAAGAGATCTCTAGTCTTTCTCATTCTATTGTTTGCCTCTGTTTCTTTGCATTGATCACTGAGGAAGGCTTTCTTATCTCTCCTTGCTATTCTTTGGAACTCTGCATTCAAATGAGTATATCTTTCCTTTTCTCCTTTGCCTTTCACTTCTCTTGGAGTACAAAAAAATTCCTTTCATGTTATTCTTTAATAAACTCTATCTGGGCAAGAAAAAGACCCACTGGGCCAAAGCCAAGGAACTATGCATTTGTGTGACACTTCTCAACTGGGTGGAGCTTCCTTTCCTGCTCTCATTGCCTGACTCACCAGCCTGCACAAAGGCCAGCTGGCCCCCTAATCAGTCTGTCTGAGCTGAGGTCAGGGTCAGGGTCACCACGTGCAGGCTCTGCAACAGGGCAGGCCTGCGGCACAGCTGAACCGGTTCAGAAGTCAGGCTTTGCGGTCGACAGAGCAGGGTTCACTCTGGCATTGCTGCTCACTGGCTGAGTGACTTTACTCCATGATTCAACTTCTCTCAGCCTTAGTTTTTTCAGAAAATTAAGGTTTGGTGCAAGGGCAGAGGACATGCTGCTGTCCATGGGGTCACAAAGAGTCGGACATGACTTAGCAACTGAACAACAAAGCAGAGATAGGAGGAGAGGATGGAGAAGAGAGAGACTTGAGATGGAAGCATTTTGAAAGGAGACTAATGATGGGATGTAAAGGGTGCTACCTGCAGCAAGAAGTCACATCAGAAGTGAGCCAGCAACCCTGCCCTCCGCCTTCTCCACCATTTCCTTTCCTCTCCAAGCCCTGCCTCTCCAGTCTATTCCAGTACATTTCTTTCCTGTGCCTGGGGGGTTACCTCCCTTTGTACCACCAGGGGCTGCTTTCATTTTCTATTTATGTAATGATCCCTTCAATGGGAGATCTTTTAACCAGAAGCAAAAGCAGCACTGCCAATTCCTGTCTCCAAATACCTGGGACCAGGGTCTCTTCACCACTAGAAGTCCTCCAGATCAGATTCCCAGAATAAAACAGGAGTAGCGTGGGGCCAGGGAAAGATCACTAGGCTAAAAGTCTGAAAGCCAATTGTGTTGTGACCTTGGATACATCCATTAAAGCTTCTTAGCCAGGACTGTCTGCTGCAAAAGGATAGGGAGAAAGGGAGGGGAACTAGGTGAGATCTGTGATATTATGAATTCTGAGAAAGCCTAGACTCTAAAACGGTTGCATTGATAAGGGTAATGGAGTGCCAGGACCTCTCTCCTGACTTACAAAAAGTTTTGAAGGTTTATAGGAAGGAGATTTAGGAGGGAGACGCTGTAAGGATCAAAGACTTTCATAGGTGAGGTGACATTTGAAGACACAATCAAATGAGCCTGGTGTGCTGCAGTCCATGGGATCACAAAGAGTCAGACACGTCTTAGTGACTGAACTATAACAACAGAGGCCCAAACCAGTCACGGTCCTGGCACAGTCCAGAAAGGCAATTGAAGAGAGCTTAATGGAGGGACCGTTTGCAAAGGTCAGGGAAGGGACACCAGCAGGGAACGGTGACATACTCTGAGGTCAGTGCAGGAACATCACTAGTGGGTCTGAAGGAGCAAAGGGAGAGTATTTTCCAAGCAGGTGAGATTTGCAGCTTCAGTAGTGTCCCAACAGAGCTGTGACTCTAGAGCAGGGAGACAGCCACTGTCACCTGCTGCCCAGTTGGGACTGAGACTCTGGAGTCTCAGTTTTCCCCTTTGGATTTTGCTGTCGTCCCCTCTGGGCAGGTCCCCTCCAGAAACCAGACTGCAAAGACTGCTGAATCTGCCCTCAGGGGTCAGCGGATGGGAAAATGTAAGGAGTAGATTGGGGCTGGGGGAGGGTGAGAGTTCAAAGATTAACCGCCCAGACAACTCTTTTCAAGGATTTGCCATCTAGAGGAATAGCTTAATGTTAATCAACAACCGCAGTATTGAGTTGATTGGAGTGAGAGCTAATAGAGCCATAGCTAATACTTACCGAGTGTTCTGTGCCAGGCATTGCACCAAGGCTTCACAAACACACCTGGGTTTTCAAACACACACACAGCCTTCCTGCGAAGCCATCACTACAGTTCAACGTGTTTTGTAGCGGAAGCTTGGAGAAGTTAATAACACACCCAGGGTCACACAGCCAGCAAAACAAGTGGATTCAAACATGAATCCAGATGGCATAACCCCAGAAATACTTGCCCTTTTAGCCAAAATGCTGTGCCTCTAGGTCAAGAACACATTTACCACCCACATCTGGGTATCATCTGGGTTTGTGGGCCTTAAAAAGCTGCCTCAGCCAGAGAGAGGCTCAGATTTGGAAGGGACTTTTGCAGAGCATTTATCCCACTGAAAGTTACTGAGGGTATTAATACTTGGTGAATCATTTGATCTGTGTCTTTCCCAGGTTCTAACTGCTCTGGCGCATCATTTTTGTAGTTTTATCCACTTTGCCTGCTATCCGTGAAAGTTGTCTCCTGATAATAATAAAATCGCACGTTTTCTGACTCCACCCCTACCTGAACTTTCTTCCTAGCACTAGCTCCTGCCCCTGTTGTCCTCTCACCATCTTGCAAATCCCTATAGGACTAAAGAAGTGAAAAATGTGTATCAGATACATCCTGCATTGAGCTTTCTTTTTGTTTCTGTTTTAATATACAATTATTTGCGTCCAGCTTGTTCTTCATTCCTAGGTGCCCCAGCCATGTCACTGCCCTCTCTCTAGTGACCCATGAAATATGGCCAACAAGCCGGCTGAGCTCAAAGGCCTCATGGCAGGTGATATGCATTCCCAGTAGGTAGTGCTGTGGCAAAACTGACCAACTCAGGTGTGTGCAGGCTGATCTCTAGACTTTGCTTCTCTCCCTGAAAACATCAATATCTTACATCATAAATGTAGAGGAAAGGGGTTCACAGTCCAGAGTTCATCCCCATCATAGACAGTGTCACCATCGGGGCAGGGGCACCGTGACCAGACACGTCTACCTGGAGTTCTCAGGGTGCCCTGCAAAGGGCAGATCCAGCCCGTGAGTACTCCCCAGCCTCTGCCTGTGCTCCCGCCTGAGAGACCAGGCAGCGGACAATCCTAACTGGAGCCCAGGTCCAGCCTAGTGTCTGAATCGCAAAGTAGTTCAAAGACTGAGTCACCCCGAGGAGCAGAGAAATGTGAGTGCATGAGAATTGGCGGTGGGGAGACGGCCAGCAGGTGTGAGCCACAGGCTTCTGGAAGGCCCAGGCCCTCCGACTCCTCTCTCTACTCCTCTGCTCCTGCCTCCGTGCTCAGCACAGGTCTGGCCCACAGCAAACAGACAGTGCTCTCTGCTTAGAAACTCAAGCCAGTTTCCTTGCCTCCCAGGCCAGCTCCCCTCTGCCTGCTGCCTTGCTTGGATTCTCTGTATCCCCCACTAAACCTCCAGACAGAAAACTATATTCATTAATTCTGCAAAATGGTTACTGAGAGTCTCCTATGTTTAAAGATCCCTGATTTAGCAAATTGTAATACAGGGTATTTTACCTAGTGATCCTACCAATATATAGAGATGAAAACATTCTAAGAGTTATGGACAAGAATGAAGCAGGGACTCAGATGTATCTGTTCTCCCAGACTCCTGAGGGAGAGGTGTGACCCTTCTTCAGGTTGGTCCAGTGTCCTTCCTTCATTCCTACCTGTCTCTTCCTCTTGTCACTCTTACTGGTTGGGAAGCAGCTCATTCGGCAGGGAGTAACCCTGCTGAATGACTGACTTTGCAGCCGAGGTATGAAGATCAGTGAACTTCCTGGTTCCCTTTCCCCGCGAGTGAGACAGGAGCCCATGGACATCCAGCAGCAGCAGGAGCAGTCCTCTCGGGTCATGAGCTCGGACAAGGATGGGACCCATCTGCACCATGGAGGGCAGGCCTGTAGCTCTCCCCCTGGGAGATGCCAAGTCAGAGTCCCTGAGTACTCACCGTTTGCCCAGGGATGGGACTTCTGTGAGGCCACAGCTGCTGGGCGGAGGGATGCAGGTGAGGATGGTCTTTAAAGGGACAGAGGGTGGTACACGTGTGTAGTTCTCTCTCTTCCTTTTAGCCTCTTTTCAAATGGTCTGAATCATTTCTGGAAGTCCTCTTGGTCTTTTTTTTTTTTTTTCCGTTCTTGGTTTTTTTAAAAGCACTACTTTGCAGTATTTCTTAGGAAATGATTTGTTTAACAAATATTTGCTGCCTCTGTGTAAACCATCCCTGATTGCTTTGTGCTCAACACTAGGGAAAAGAAAGAATGGCCAGGAAAATTTGTGAAAGATTTTCAGCGGTTAAAAAAGATGACTGGGTGTCTCTTCTATGGAATACTAACCCTGTCTGGTAGTTCTCACATTAGGGATCTCTGATTCCATAGGACTAAGCCATTGCTTATTTTTCTAGATCATTTACAACTTTGTAGAGACAGATGTTAATTTACAGAACACTGAGAGTAATTCAAATTGTTCCTGTCCTTAGTGATGCAAATGACTTCTCTCTGATAGAGAATATAATATTTTGCAAATCAAATCCTCATTTAATCCACTTTTAACATTTTTACTGGTTCTCTTATTAAATAAGTTAAATAAATTATTTGCACAGTCTTTTTTATATTTACCTTTTAAAAAATTATCCTTTATTAGGACGTACAGTGTATTCACTGTAAAGCCATTACCAGTACAAAATAGCTAGGAAATGATACAAAACAAACAGTACACAATCTAGGGTTAAATTTTATGGAGAAAGGACAAATATACACAAATGAGGAAGTAGGTTTCTGTGAGACGTAATGAGTAATCAAACAAAAAACCATGATGTTTTAGTCTCAGGAAAATTTCCAGAACCTATTTTGTCAATAAAAACTCTACTGTATTAAGAAGGTTAACAACAACTGGTTGTTCACTGTTTCTTTAATGCTCACAACAATGACATTCATCAGATATGCCAATGGCATTGGCCTTAGGCTGTTATATTTATGTCCAGTTATGACTGTTCTGGCTTGTATGGATAGTTTTTATTTTATTGATTTAAATTTTCCTGCACATAAAACGTGTCACTGAATTTGCAAAACCTCTTTGGAAAGGCTCTTTAGTTACATGGAATCCTTTTGTTGATGGAGAAATAAAAGGTTTACATTCTTTTTTTTTTTTTTTTGACTCCATGGTATTTACTGGGCTTCCTGGTGGCTCAGTNGGTTCGATCCCTGGGTTGGGAAGGTCCCTTGGAGAAGGGAAAGGCTTACCCACTCCAGTATTCTTACCTGGAGAATTCCATGGTTAGCGGAGCCTGGCGAGCTACAGTCCATGGAGTTGCAAAGACACAGACACGAGCAACTAACACACACACACACACACACACACACACACCCAGAGCCTTTATACTTAAGGCTTGTTTTTCCATGATGACTCTCAAAGTACCTTGGTTTCCCAGCCATCCGGTGGGAGAGAATGGGGCAGAGCTGGAGTCATTCATTCTCCCAGCCAGGCTCCTCTGCTGCCGGTCTGGCCCAGGCACCTCTGGGTGCCCTAGCACCCCCAGGCCTTGGCCTTTGCCCGCTTTTCACTGCAGGAATGATGTCCAGCACTGCCGGCTCCGGCGCTGTCTTCCTGAAGGATTTTCCTTGGGCGACAGCTCAGACCTCACTCCTGCTTCTTCTGGGACTTCTCCTGCTGACTGCTCTTGGTTTCATCTGGAAACTTCGCCGAGAGAAAGATCGAGAATGCTGGACCAAAGGTAAAGGAATCAGAAGACCGAGGTAGTGAGGTCCAAAGAAGACTATGGGAAAGGGATTGGACAGAGGGGAAAGGAGAGGACCAGAAGTTGAGGTTTTTATATTCAGTCTTTCTTTCCTCAATACCAGCACCCCCACCTCCTGGGACCCTGACTGTGCCCTGGCTTTTCTAGTCTGGGGACAGCTCTCCGGACTCACTGCACATATGATGCAGGAAAGGGTCTAAACCTGGCCTGTGAATGGTACTGATTCATTTCTTGTCCTTTTGTAGAGCAACTCCAAAGAGAGCTCCGTAAGTTCCGTACTTCCTCCTCCTGTGTGTACGATTTGAGACCCTCTCACGTGTCATTGATCTCATGAAGTTTCTTTGTTCTACTTCAGGCTGGAGAAAAGCCCAGAAAGTGGACGGTGAGTAAATTGGAATTTTTGTTTTTCATCTAAGGCTTTATCTGCTTCATTTAATAAGTGCCTTTCTCCTGATTCTTTCCTTTGAGGACTTGCTCATTCTTGCACCATCTGGACTTAAGCCATATAACCCCAATAGCTCTGTTGATATGTCATGGATGCCCCAAAGATTTTTCAAACCTATGACCAACACTGAACTCCATTCCCTTTGTTGTCAACCTGCCCTTCCTCCTCCCCTCCCCTCACCATCCAGTGCTACCACCACCCACCCAAGGGGGCTCCTTTCTCTCCTTCCCTCAGGGCAAACCCTTTTACTGCTTAGTCTAGGACCCCTTCTCAGGCATAGAATACCTCCCCCAATCTTTCTTTCTTCTTTTGTCACAGATCCCTGGGAATAGGTTATCAAGACCCTTCTCTCAACAGCAAGCTGCTTCTCTTCCCTCAAGAGCTACTGCTGCCCTTTTCCCTTTTAAGACTTTTAGTTTAAATAAATATTAAGAAACAGACAAAAAAATCTTAAAAAACAACCAGCATAAACAAGACCTTGTCTGTGAAAAGTTTTCCATAGTTTAGAGTTTCAGAATAAACTTGCTAAATAGAAATCTGATTACATTCCTCTTAAGCCCCAAACCATCTCTGGTTTCCCATTGCCTTCTGCCATCTTACTGGGGTGGATATTTGTAAATTCTAAAAGGATTTTCAAATTTCTAAGAAAAATTGTCTTGATGTCAATTTTTGTCAAAACTAACACAACCTAAGCAGATTCTACATCACCTGCTTAATATCCTTTTTTTTCCTGATAATCAGTTATTGTGTGAATGGTTCTAGTTTCCAAGCTAACTGCTGTGTTCATAACTGCATTAGTGACAAAGGAACCAAAGACAGATTTTAACTTTTATTGCTACATTTTTTAATTGGCTCCCTCAGGACTTTGAAGATTTATTTTCAGAGGAAATTAATTTGTGTCTAACCGAGGTTTTTACATAACTCAATTGAAGAAACACTACATTAAAAGGTAAAGTCCAATCTGCAATTTTTATCCCCACAATGCAGTCACCCTTCATGGTCCAGTCCAATTTCTGTTTCATCCCTGGACACTCCCTGACATGTGCCACCCCACACTGGACTGACCACACCACCAGCAGTGCCCCACATGTATCATTCGTTTTCCCACTTCTGTGCCCATTTCCTCTGTCTGTTCATCACATCTGCTGACCCTGTTTGTTCTACTCATTCAGACAAACTGGGACAGGCTCCTTAACCTCTTTGAAGTTTTACTTTTCCCACCTAGAAATTGACTTAGTTGCAACTACTACTTTGAGCAGATGTTAGGAAATGAGATAAAGGTGTGGAGGACACCCAGTACCGTCATAGCACGTAGCTAAGTTCAGTGAACATTAGCTTTGATCCTTCATCACCACATCCTTTTCCCACACCTCCAAAGGTGATGCAACCCCCCACCTCAGAGAAAAAAAGAGAAGGGAGGGGGGCAAACTTCCTGCCCCGCCACCTGCACCTGCACTTTCTGATCTGTAGGCTCTGACTTCAACAGAGCAGGCATCTTTTTCCCTTTCTGAGGCTATTTCTTCATTCTTGTCCTGGATCACTTACTCTCCTGCTTCCCTCATGGATTCTCTATTCATTTCATTCATTCATTCATCAGCTCAACAAAGATCCACAACTGTTAACTATGTTACTAGTAACTAGTAACTAAGTTACTCTTCTAAGTGCCCTAGGCACAGAAATGAACACAACCGAAATATCCCATTCACAAAGAATCTACCTTCTAGTGGAAGAAGATAGAAAAAAAATGAAATAGTATAATACATAGTTTGGCACATGATAATAAGCACTCAGGAGATAACAGAATATTGCATTGGAAGGTGCAGTTTAAAATAGGGTGGTGAATTGTACACCTGTAACAAAATATTGCACATCAACTATACTTCAATTTAAAAAATTATGATAAAATAGAGTGATGATGAAGTAGAGGAGCAAGCCACAGGAATAGCTGAGGGAAAAGCATTCTAAGTAGAGAGAACAATGGTGCCAAAGCCCAGAGTCAGAAACACACTAGTTTGTTTGAAGAGTAGCAAAGGCGCCGGTGTTGCTGGAAGGCAGGAGTGATCAGGATAATCAGAGTAGATTAGAGGGTAGAATCAGAGGGGTTTGGAGAGCCAGATCACACAGCCTTCAAAGTCATCCATGCTGGCTTTGGCTTTGCTTCTGAGAAAGGAGGATTTTGAGCAGAAGGGGAACTGAACCTGACTTATGCTTTGAGAAGTTACTTTAGATACTACGCTGAGATTGACTTGGTGGCGCTAGAGGTAAAAAACACACCTGCCAATACAGGAGACATAAGAGACACAGATTCAATCCCTGGGTTCCTGAAGATCCCTGGAGGAGGAAATGTCAACCCACACCAGTATTTTTGCCTGGAGAATCCCATGGACAGAGATGCCTGTCGGGCTACGGTCCATAGGATTGCAGAGAGTTGGACATGACTGGCCCAGCTGGGAGCTACTGCAGACATCAAGGGGAGAAATGAGGATGGTTTTTACCAAGGGGGAGTGCTGGAAGTGGTGAGAGGGGCCTCAGTGCTGGATTTATTTTTAAAACAGAGTAAAAATACCCTTGTTGATAGTGTAGTGCAAAAGTAAAAGAGTGGATCAAGGATGACTCCACGGTTTTTAGGCCTAAGAAACTATAAAAATGGAATTGCCATTTTTCTGCAATGGGGAAGCCAAAAGAAAACCAAGGGGCAAGGGGAGGGGCAAGCACAGAATCAAAATGTTGAAGAGGGTGTTAGTGATGCAAGTGAAGATGCAGAGTAGGCAGTTGGATAATCAAGTGTGTAGTCCATACAGGAGGTCAGGGCTAGAAATATAAGCTATTCTTACTTCTCCTCTGTATCTTTTTCTTTATTTCTTTTTCTTTCTTTTTTTTTTTTTTTGGTTACCTTTTGTAATTTAAAATGCCTTTTTTAGATTAAAAAATTTTATTAATTGGAGTATAATATATTTACAATATTGTGTTAGTTTCAGGTGTTCAGCATGGTGATTCAGTATTTTTGCAGGTATTAGTCTAAGTCCTCCCCCAGATAAATTAAGTAGCAGGTGTTAGTCTGATCTCCATCCTACAGATGTAGAAATGGAGACACTGAATAGTTAATTAAACTGGCTTTGGGTTTCATGGCTAATGAGTTGTGGCTAATAACATGTTGGGATCAAGGCAAGAGCTGTGAGCTAATAGTGGATACAGTGCCCAGAGCACACGGGCAGTGCCCCAGGTGAGGGTACAAAAATAAATAAATAATCTGGGACTCCCTAATCACAGCAAGAAGTGACATATTAACTATGAAAAAGACATGTTTCCTGCGGAGACTAGCTAAATAAGAGATAGATTTCCAGGCAGCTAGCCATCCTTACTCCATGCAGGACAGTGTATGGAGGTCATGGAAAAGATGCAGGAGATGGGATCAGGTGCCTGGCTGTGGGAATGACTAACGCATGATCACAGTGAAGAAAGGAGTGAATCCCTCAGAGTTCTGTCCTGTATCCAGGACCATGTCCCCTGCAATGGCAGCCTTCACGTGTTTGCATAAGCTCGTGCCTTTCAGCTATTGAGGCACAAAGCCATCCGGTATGGGAATGCAGAGAGATGAGTGAAGAGCTCCTTGTGGAGTTGGAGCCTGTGCTTAGGAAACAAAAAGGGGAAACAGAAGAATACATTTTGTCTGGCCTCCTTCCTCCTAGACATTTTCCCTTTTAGGAACGTGAGGGAAGGAGCCCAGATAAGCTCTGGAGATGAGTGATGAGGGTGCCAAGGAGGGAAGGAAAGGCAACCAGCACAGAGAAAGGGCAAAGAAATGTATGCCTCTCGCCAGGAGCACTCACCTCTCTTTTTTCTATTGCAGACTGGAAAAAAGCTCGGTCCTATGCTGGTGAGTGACTATCTGATTCTTACGGTATCAGGCCCAGAACTCCATAAAAGAAGATCTTAGTGGTCTTTCTCCATCTTCCAGCTCCAAATAGTGGTTGGGCAGGCAATGAATGGAGACCCAGGGAAGATCCAAGTAACATCAAGATCAAGTATTACCCAGTTTCAGTTCAGCACCTTCACCTTTTTCCTTTCCTGAAGTTTATACCAAATTTTTTTTTTTTTTCCTTCTTAAAGGGCTCCTCATCTACTTTCTCTCTTGAGTTTCTCTACTATTCATGGCAACCCACTCCAGTAATCTTGCCTGGAGAATTCTATAGACAGAGGAGCCTGGCAGGCTACAGTCCATGGGGTTGCAAAGAGTCAGACATGACTGAGCAACTATCACTCAATATCTTCAGCATCATGGGCCTGAGGGTACAACTAGAAAGATTACATTCAAATGACATACCGTTTCTAGTGGGTTCTGTGCATCTTAGAGGAGATGTGGCCACTCTGTCCACCTAGCTTCTCTCCCCTCAGAGCATCTCATTAGGTAAACACAACAATAGCATATTACTCCATCTCTTCAGTGTTCAGGACAGATCAGATGGGGATGTGGGAGCTTTGCTAGATTTTGACCTAGGGCCTCACTCTACTCTACACTAAGCCAGCAAATGGCAGAAAAAGGAATGCAAATATTGTGTAAAGGTTTTCTTATTGGTGAGGCCTGGAAGTAGCCAACTCTTCTGCTGGATACCCAAGGGGGACCAGACATCTCACTATGCACCTAGGAGGAAAAGGAGCCAATGTTTGATGAACCCATAAAAATTTCTCCCATACGACTCTTCTAACCTGTGAGATTCAGGAACAGTCTATTAAAAATTCATTTGATCAGATGTTTTACACAGTTGGCCAAAAATCTCTGGCCAGATAATCCATGAAATGTCCTGGGGCTTCAGGTTGGCAGAGAGAGGTGGCTAGAGGCTGTCCAAGGACCTTCCCTAGCCATTTATTCTGCAAATATTGTTAAGCACCAACTGTGAGGCAGAGTCTGACAATGCTAGACAGTAGGAATACAAAGATGAACAAACATAGTCTGTATTTTTGGGGGTCCTGGTCTGGTAGAGGAGAGAAATATGAAATAAACAATAATAGTGCAGTGACATGAGAGGGTATTGTACAAAATGCTGTGAGGGATGAGAGGATGGGGTGAGGGGGTTGTGATTAGCCACCCCTGCTCCCAGGGACCTGGAACCTCTGGATTATCTCCTCCTTGTAAGTCTCTGAACTCTTCTAACAGCTCTTTGAAGTCTGATCTTGAGGACATCTGGGGGAGATGCTTATCACTCCAGCTCTTTTATGGAGGAAGGAAGGCAACTTCATAGGTTAGGAATGGCTTCTTTTCTCCCCACTTCCCAGTCACTGAGGGCCCTGGGATACCAGAGTTGACAGGACATCTGTTCTCTCTCACTCTTTCCACAGTTCATGTGACTCTGGATCCAAATACTGCCTTCTTTGAACTCTTTCTGTCTGAAGATCACCAAAGTGTGAAGCGGAGAAACTTGTGGCAGAATCTTCCTGAAAAACCTGAGAGGTTTTCTTTTGACCCTTGTGTGCTGGGCCATAGGTCCTTCTTTTCGGGGAGACATTACTGGGAGGTGGAAGTGGGCGACAGGACTTACTGGGAGCTGGGGGTTTGTGAGGAAAACGTGGATAGGGCTTGGGGGATCGCAGAATCACCTCAGAATGGATTCTGGGCTGTGGAACTCTATGCTAATAAGTACCAGGCCCTCACCTCCCCTCGGACTGCCCTCCCCCTGAGTGAGCCCCCCAGCCGGGTGGGGGTCTTCTTGGACTATGAAGCTGGGCATGTCTCCTTCTATAGTGTGGCTGATGGGTCCCACATCTACACTTTCCCCCAGGCCTCCTTCTCTGGTCCTCTTCGGCCTTTCTTCTGCCTCTGGTTCTACCACCCAACCCCTCTGACCATCTGCCACTGAACCCATCTGTCCCCATCCTTTCTGTCAGTTGAACATACAAGGATGGACTCATCATTGGGACTGAGAAGTCACATTTCTGGGGACAATGCCCCCAAGGCTCCAGCTGAGCCCCCCTGACCTTTTCTGCAGATAAAGACTGGAGACAGTTAATAATTCTCCAGAGTTGAGTGGTACAGAGGCCAAAAAGGATAATGCAACCCCCTAGAATGTTATCAAGAGGGGCTGGTGTTGCCATCCCAGCTGGAAACTGAAAAAGGGACCCCTAGAGAAACCAGAGACAAGATACTGATGGAAAGACTACCTGGGTGGAGTGTGATCTCTGGTCTTGAGCTCCTTGTCTTTAATGTCTGCATCACAGAACAGCTGGAAGCTGAATCTGGATGGTGCTTGGCTGTTTTCACCCTCTTTTCATACAAAGACTTTATTTCATTTTGACCCACATGCAACCTGGGGAGAGACTAAATAAAGTTCACAGAGAAAAGTCACTTTTCCAGATCACTCTGTTGGTCTGGGACTTGATGGCACCTTCAACATTTTTACATCTAATGCCAATCATAGAGTGCCTCTAAGAGCTCAATCATTCCTTATAAAATGATTGCAATGACCCTTTCAATGACGCTTTTTACCCCAGATCCAAGATTTACTTTTCTAGTTTGTGAATTTGTTTACTGCTCCTTTCCCTAATTATCTTCCTACCTTTAGACTATTTTACCTCATCAACAGTTAAGTGCATATTAATTTTTTCTATGCTTTATGCAAATACACACACAGAGTTTTTCTAATGAAAATTGGGCTTTGTTATATAATTGTCCCATGACATGCTTCTTTTACTTAATACCAAGTCTTGGTGGCTCAGGCGGTAAAGCATCTTCCTGCAATGCAGGAGACCTGGGTTCAGTTTCTGGGTTGGGAAGATCCCTTGGAGAATGGAATAGCAAACCACTCCAGTATTCTTGCCTGGAGAATCCCCATGGACAGAGGAGCCTGGCGGGCTACAGTCCATAGGGTCACAAAGAGTCAGACATGACTGAGTAACACAAATCTTAAATACTAATCTATAATTATTTGCAATCAAGATGGTTTTGTTTCTTTCCTATTAGAAATAAAGCTACTATAAATATCTTTGTATGTAAATCAATAAAAGTATTCTCAAACCATTAGCAAGACTCATTAAGAAACAAAGGGAGAAGAACCAAATTAACAAAATTAGAAACGAAATTGGAGAGATCACAACAGACAACACAAATACAAAGGATCATAAGAGACTACTACCAGCAGCTCTATGCCAATAAAATGGACAACTTGGAAGAAATGGACAAGTTCTTAGAGAAGTATAACTTTCCAAAACTGAACCAGGAAGAAATAGAAGATCTTAACAAA